CACGAGGGGGGCTGGCGAAGCAGTTCCTTCCCCCGAGGAAAGAGGAGAAAAAAAAATGATAATAATTAAACCCAAAAAAAAGCCAAAAAGAAAATCCAGCAACACCGGAACCCCACAAAATCCAGCCGGGGGTGGTGTGGGTCAGGAGAGAGAGTCAATCCACAAATCCTCCCGGGGGTGCCCGGTCGGGGTGAAGCGCAGCCGGTCGCCCTCTCCGCTCCTCCTTCTCCTCCTCCTCCTCCTCCTCCTTCTTCTTCTTCCCGGGTAGGAAAGTTTCAACGTCGAACGCGGAGCAAGAACCGGGCCGGGTTTTTGGCAGCCTGGCCCCTTCGGTACGGCAGCTTTCTCTTCGTTTTACCGAGCCGGAGCCAACGGGCCCGGTTCATGCCGGGGTTCAACCGACATCTCCGGTTCCACCGTCATCGTCGTCGTCGTCGTCGCCGTCGCCGGGCCCGGGGTTAAACGCGGAGCCGCCGCCGCGTTGGCCCAGCGTCCCGGCGATGAGGAAACTCTTCGGGGAAAGCTGCCGGCAATCGGCGACTGGAGGGAACGGGATGGTGGGCAACGGGAGCGGGGTTGGAAGCGGGAGCTCTCGGGGGGTTCCTCCACCTCCTCCACCCCGCAGCCGTGTCCCGCACCCGGCTCTCCGTTCTCCCCGTGGAACTCCGCCGGAGCCCGGCCCGCATTCCTGGCATAACTCGACTCGACCGCAACCACCCTCCTCCTCCCCATCACCCCGTTCCAACGGGGAGGATGAAGCGGCGGCAACGGCGGCGGCAACGGCGGCGGCATCATCATCATCATCATCATCATCCCGTTCCCCCCGCGTTTCGTCGGGCAGCGAAGGCGAAGGGGGGCAAAGCGGTGCCCACCGTCACCGCGCCGCCCGGAAGAAGAAGAAGGAGAGTGGTGGTTGGGAGAACCCGGCGGATGGCGGCGATGTCGAGGCTGAAGGCTGCGGGAGGGTGGTGGTCCCCCGTCATCCTTTGCCCGTGGTGGCCCGTGTCTCCAAAGTGAACATCCTGCCCTTCAGCAGCCCCGGCGGGTCGCGGAGCAGCAGTCGTTATTCCAGCACGGAGACCCTGAAAGAAGAAGAACAGTTTGGGGTTTGTTGGCCCAACCAAGGACGGACTCTCCAGGCAGGTTATGGCATCTATCGATCCCCCAGTTTTGGGACGAGTGATGGCCTGGCGTGGGGACAGCCGTCCGTCCGTGTCCGTCCCAAGCTGCCGCAGGGCACGGCCAAGGCGAAACTGGACTTTGGGAGTGAGAGGTTGCACCAACCGGGGCTGGAAGCGGAGCGGGCCAAGCACCGCAAGTCCTTGTCCAACCCGGACATTGCCACCGAGACCCTGACGCTCCTCAGCTTCCTCAAATCAGACCTCTCGGAGCTGAAGGTGAAGAAGAAAGGGGTGAGGATTGGCCTTGACGCGGGCTCCGATGGCAGCTCCGGCGTTGCCAACTCCTCCCCGGGTGGCCGCGGCGCCACTCAGCCCCCCAACCGTTGGGCGCCGGGCGAGCGGCCAACGCTCAAGGACCTGACGGCCACTTTGCGTCGAGCCAAGTCCTTCACCTGCTCCGAAAAATCGGGGGCGCGGAGGCTTTTCCTACAGAGCACCATGAAGCAGAGCTCCTCCGAGCTCCTCCTGGCCACCGCCGACAGCCAGGACCAGGTGGCTTTGGATGGGGGACAGCGAAGGGATGAGGATGCTCTCCCCATGGTCATCCAGGATCAGTACATCCAGGAGGCGAGGCAGGTCTTTGAGAAGATCAGCAGGATGGGTTCCCAGCAGGACTATGGCTTCACAGCCGAGCAGAAGGACAGTGGAGGTGTGGAGGGCGCCGAGGTGGTGGCACCGACGGGGACGACGGAGGTGACCCTTCAGGGCCGGGCGGAGAGCACGCGGTGTTTGAAGGAAGTGGAGTCGGAGGAGAACCTCGCTCGCAGGAAATCCATGGAGGAGCTGTCGGGTCATGAGTCGAGCGTGACGGACGAGGGCATCGTCACAGAGCCAGAGCCTGTGGGGATGCCCTTCCAAGACTTGCACGAATCCGTGGACGCCTGGACGCTGCCCAACGCTGGGCCGGCAGCCGGTGACACCGAAATGCCGCTGCCCGCTCACCCGGCGGCGGTGGTTGAAGACCTTCCAGCTGGCAAACCCGAGACACCCAGCACCCCTGGCAGCTTGCGGCGCCGACGTAAGTTCCCCTCGGCGGGTGCCAATGGGATGGAGGGTGGCAGCGAGGGTGGCACCGAACCCTACCGCTCCTTGAGCGACCCCATGCCCCACCGGAGGCGCTCGGTGGCGGAGGAAGCCAAGAATTTCTCCGTCGACAGCAACCTCCTGGGCTCGCTGAGCACCAAGGCGGGCATCCCCCAACCCGCCGCCATCGCCGGCAGCGCTGGCAGCGCGGGCAGCGACCTGTCACTGGGCAGTGATGGGCCACGGGACTACAGCAGCCTCATCCAAACCATCGTCAGCCAGCCCGGCGCCATGGCCAAGCTCATCGATGAGAAGGGCAACGGCAAGACCATCAAGAAGAAGTCGTTGAGCGACCCCAGCCGCCGCGGTGAGCTGCCCACCGGTGCCTTTGAAGGTCCCGGTGAGGCCATCAACGAGCTGGAGCCCACCATCCCACCGTCCAGCAGCGAGCCCATCCTCTCGGCGCAACCAGCGGCGCCGGGCACCGGCCGTGGTTATGGCTTTGACCCCAAGTTGGCTGACGTGTTGTCCCCTCGCATCGCCCGGCGCAGCTCCAAGAAGCGCTCCAACCGGGCGGCTCACCAGGAAAACCAACCACCACCAGCTCCTGCCGTCCTCACCAAGAGCCGCCCGGCCACCAAACACGTCCGTCACACCAGCGAGCCTGCCACCTTCGTCCCCATCACCGTCCCCGAGCCTCTTGTCCCCTCCGGCCACCACAGCCACCTCCCTGCTCCTGCTGCTGGCCGCTCACCTGGCAAATCCTTCCCAACCTCCCAACCTCCTTCGCTGGAGGATGTCACCAAGCGGTACATGCTGGCCCTCAACTCAGGTGACGCGTCCCCTGCTCCTGGGGATGGACCTCGCTCTCCGCCCGCTGCCCCACCACCCCGGCTGCCCCGCTGCCCACGACCGCCCGACGAACACAGCCCCAGGACCAAGCCACAGGTGGTGAGTGCCCATCCATCCTAAAAACCTCAGTTTCACAGGGTACATGACCCTTCCGGAGCGTTGGTGGCTTTGGGTGGCCTTTGAGTGTCCCTTGTTGGGGACGAGTTCCCATCTGCGGATGTGCTGCCGGATGGCCAAGAGCTTTCCCAGCCCTTTCCGGCTGTCCCAGGGGAACGAGCTCTTGTTTGTAGGAGTGACCTCCCCAGTAAAAAAGGCGACTTTTGGGTGGGAAGAAGCAGTTTTCAGGCTAAATAGCACCAAACTTTGCTGGAAGGTGGTTTTATAGACATAGATTATACGCTATATATAAGGTACCGATAAAAAGGGTGCGCTCTCGGCCGGCCACGAGATGCTGAACCAAAAATTGAGTTTTTCTTAGCAGGGAGGGCTTAAATGGTCCCTCTGCTTGGGATTCCCCGTGTCATGAAGTTTATCGAGCAAATTGGCATTTTCCCCTTCACTTCCCCCCCCAAAAAAATCACCATCCCTCCACCCGGGACCGTTTCCTTTGCGGTGCTGGCGGGGTGGGAAAGTTCCCCTCGGCGGGTGCCAATGGGATGGAGGGTGGCAGCGAGGGTGGCACCGAACCCTACCGCTCCTTGAGCGACCCCATGCCCCACCGGAGGCGCTCGGTGGCGGAGGAAGCCAAGAATTTCTCCGTCGACAGCAACCTCCTGGGCTCGCTGAGCACCAAGGCGGGCATCCCCCAACCCGCCGCCATCGCCGGCAGCGCTGGCAGCGCGGGCAGCGACCTGTCACTGGGCAGTGATGGGCCACGGGACTACAGCAGCCTCATCCAAACCATCGTCAGCCAGCCCGGCGCCATGGCCAAGCTCATCGATGAGAAGGGCAACGGCAAGACCATCAAGAAGAAGTCGTTGAGCGACCCCAGCCGCCGCGGTGAGCTGCCCACCGGTGCCTTTGAAGGTCCCGGTGAGGCCATCAACGAGCTGGAGCCCACCATCCCACCGTCCAGCAGCGAGCCCATCCTCTCGGCGCAACCAGCGGCGCCGGGCACCGGCCGTGGTTATGGCTTTGACCCCAAGTTGGCTGACGTGTTGTCCCCTCGCATCGCCCGGCGCAGCTCCAAGAAGCGCTCCAACCGGGCGGCTCACCAGGAAAACCAACCACCACCAGCTCCTGCCGTCCTCACCAAGAGCCGCCCGGCCACCAAACACGTCCGTCACACCAGCGAGCCTGCCACCTTCGTCCCCATCACCGTCCCCGAGCCTCTTGTCCCCTCCGGCCACCACAGCCACCTCCCTGCTCCTGCTGCTGGCCGCTCACCTGGCAAATCCTTCCCAACCTCCCAACCTCCTTCGCTGGAGGATGTCACCAAGCGGTACATGCTGGCCCTCAACTCAGGTGACGCGTCCCCAGCTCCTGGGGATGGACCTCGCTCTCCGCCCGCTGCCCCACCACCCCGGCTGCCCCGCTGCCCACGACCGCCCGACGAACACAGCCCCAGGACCAAGCCACAGGTGGTGAGTGCCCATCCATCCTAAAAACCTCAGTTTCACAGGGTACATGACCCTTCCGGAGCGTTGGTGGCTTTGGGTGGCCTTTGAGTGTCCCTTGTTGGGGACGAGTTCCCATCTGCGGATGTGCTGCCGGATGGCCAAGAGCTTTCCCAGCCCTTTCCGGCTGTCCCAGGGGAACGAGCTCTTGTTTGTAGGAGTGACCTCCCCAGTAAAAAAGGCGACTTTTGGGTGGGAAGAAGCAGTTTTCAGGCTAAATAGCACCAAACTTTGCTGGAAGGTGGTTTTATAGACATAGATTATACGCTATATATAAGGTACCGATAAAAAGGGTGCGCTCTCGGCCGGCCACAAGATGCTGAACCAAAAATTGAGTTTTTCTTAGCAGGGAGGGCTTAAATGGTCCCTCTGCTTGGGATTCCCCGTGTCATGAACTTTATCGAGAAAATTGGCATTTTCCCCTTCGCTCCCCCCCCAAAAAAATTGCATCCCTCCACCCGGGACCGTTTCCTTTGCGGTGCTGGCGGGGTGGGAAAAAGGGGAAGAAATATTCCTGTGCACACAATAACTATTTTATCGAGGGGTAAAGTTTTGTCCTGTCTGTGGAAGAATTAATGCTGCTGGGGGGATGTTTCCCCCCCCCTCCTCGTCTTGAAGAGTGGCCGTGGGCTTTTGGGGGTCTTTCCTGGGGGTGGGTTTTTGGCATCGCCGGCCCCTCGGCTGTTGTTTGAAGAGGGACTTGGGTTCCCATCGCTCTGGGTGTTTGTGCCGGGAAGGGCTTGGAAGCACCACCTCCTCCTGCGGCAACAGCAGCTCCGGCACCCACGGGGCTTTTAATAGCTCCCCAGAAATACCCGTTCCTGTGGGGGATGAGCAGAGAACTCACAGGAATGGGGCTGGCAGGGCTCTCTTTCTTTCTCTTGCCCTGCTTCCATGTGGATTTAAGAGGAACGGGCTGGACCGTTCCCTTCCACCAGCCGCCGCCGGGCAGCCAAGCGTGAAGTCCCCGGGGCTGAGCCCGGCGGTGTAACCCTTGCTGGTCGGGGCAGAGCCACATGGAGGAGGGTTGTTTTTCTTTGCAGGCTCCTAAAATCCATATCCCTGTGTCATCATTCCCCCAAGGCATCCTCTTGGGGTCAGGCATCCCTAAAGCATCTTCCCCCCAAAGATATTCTCATGGGATCCAGCACCCCTGTAGCATCATTCCCCCAGGATGTTCTCCTGAGGTCCACCATCCCTTCAGTATCATTCCTTTGAGATGTTCTTTTGGGGTCCAGCATCCCCATAGCATCATTCCCCCCAAGATACTCCCCTGGGGACTAGGGTCCCTGCAGCACCATTCCCCCAGAATATTCTCCTGGGGTCCAGCATCCCTGCAGCATCATTCCCTCAAGATGTTCTCCTGGGGTCCAGCATCCCTGAAGCATCATCCCCCAAGATGTTCTCTTGGGGTCAAGCATCCCTGAAGTATCATCCCCCAAGATGTTCTCTTAGCGTCAGGCTTCCCTGCAGCATCTTCTCCCAAGATGTTCTCTTGGGGTCAGGCATCCCTGAAGCATCTTCCCCCAATACATTCTCTTGGGGTCCAGAATCCCTGTAGCATCATTGCTCCAAGATATTCTCCTGGGGTCAGGAATCCCTCCAGCATTGTTCCCCAAGATGTCCTCTTGGGGTTAGGCATCCCTGAAGCATCAGCGCCCAAGATGTTCTCTTGGGGTCAGGCTTCCCTGCAGCATCTTCTCCCAAGATATTCTCCTGGGGTCTGACATCCCTGCAGCAACATCCTCCAAGATGTTCTCTTGGGGTCAAGCATCCCTGAAGTATCATCCCCCAAGATGTTCTCTTAGCCCACCATCCCTTCAGTATCATTCCTTTGAGATGTTCTCTTGGGGTCCAGCATCCCCACAGCATCATTCCCCCCAAGATATTCCCCTGGGGACCAGGGTCCCTGCGGCACCATTCCCCTAGAATATTCTCCTGGGGTCCAGCATCCCTGCAGCATCATTCCCTCAAGATGTTCTCCTGGGGTCCAGCATCCCTGAAGCATCATCCCCCAAGATGTTCTCTTGGGGTCAGGCATCCCTGAAGCATCTTCTCCCAAGATACTCTCTTGGGGTCAGGCTTCCCTGCAGCATCTTCTCCCAAGATATTCTCCTGGGGTCTGACATCCCTGCAGCAACATCCTCCAAGATGTTCTCTTGGGGTCAGGCATCCCTGAAGCATCTTCCCCCAATACATTCTCTTGGGGTCCAGAATCCCTGTAGCATCATTGCTCCAAGATATTCTCCTGGGGTCAGGAATCCCTCCAGCATTGTTCCCCAAGATGTCCTCTTGGGGTTAGGCATCCCTGAAGCATCAGCGCCCAAGATGTTCTCTTGGGGTCAGGCTTCCCTGCAGCATCTTCTCCCAAGATATTCTCCTGGGGTCTGACATCCCTGCAGCAACATCCTCCAAGATGTTCTCTTGGGGTCAAGCATCCCTGAAGTATCATCCCCCAAGATGTTCTTTTGGGGTCAGGCATCCCTGAAGCATCTTCCCCCAAGATATTCTCTTGAGGTCCAGAATCCCTCCAGCATCATTGCTCCAAGATATTCTCCTGGGGTCAGGAATCCCTCCAGCATCATCCCCCAAGATGTCCTCTTGGGGTCAGGTATCCCTGCAGCATCTTCCCCCAAGATATTCTCCTGGGGTCCAGCATTCCTGCAACGTCCTCCCCCCAGGATATTCTCCTTGGTGGGGGGGACACTCTATGCCCCATCCAACTCCTTCTCCAGCTGTTGTCCCCATGGCCGGACAACAGCCGTTGTTGGTAGAGAACGGGGAGCTCTTGGCTCCTGCGAAAAACATCCTTGGAAATAATTTTGGGGTGAATTTTGCAAGATTTTATCCCGATGTACCAGTTTAGAGCAAAGTACTTGTCTTCTCTGATCCCAGGGCTGAAAAGTGCTGATAAAGCATCGAGCGTTATAATTTAGTTGGGGTGATGAGGAACCTCCTGGGATGGCAGCTGGTGGTACCTTGGGGACATCAGCAAGTCTCCGAGGTGCAGCAGTGTACCCGGCGGTGGCATTTCTTTATAAATATCTCTTACTAAATTATTAATATGTTAAGTTTATATAATACGTGGTTTATATTAATAATTTATAATGAGATTATGTCTTCTTCAGGCAGCTCCCTGTGGTGCCCCCAGGGATGGTGCCCACCCTGGTGATGGCCCCAGTATCAGGGATGCTCTTCTGACCCCGCACCCCGATACACCCCCCAACCCTGGTCACTTTGGGATCATTCCAGCTGGATTTTTACCCACTCCAGCAGTGGGTTCTGGCAACTGGGAGCCCAGTTTGGCCGAGCATCACCTTGGGGACGGAGGCCACCCCCAGGGGGCTGGACCCCAGGGATGCTTCTCCTCACCTTGCTTGAACCCACCAGCCTCAGCGAAGAGGGTGCGAATTTTCCCTTTTAAGGGCAACGCCGCAGCCTCTATCTTCAAATCTCTCTCCTGCCGTTGAATTTTCTTTGTGCTGCAGCCATAACGTAACTGGAACCAGGATTTTTTTTTTATTTCTCTTTTTGATTTATTATATAGCGGGGCTGGGATGTTTTATTTCAGATGGCACCAGCCTTGGCTTGGAGGGGGGGAACGAGCCCTGCAAGGGAGTTGCTTTAATTATGGGTGAGAGCATCGAGGACCGGATATAACTTGGCACCGGGACGGCTGGCTGGGAGTGGAGATTTACGTGCTCCCTGACCGATGGCGAAGGAATAAGCTTTATTTTTTAATTTATTTTCTTTTTTTACTCCCCCTCCTTAACTCAATGGAGAGGGCCGGCGTCGCGAGGTCGGCTGTCAGCTTGGGGAAGCCATCATCGCCGCTTGGGGATTTTTGGGGTGTTGGAACGTCTGTTCCGTGTCACGGGGGTGGTCTGTCCTTCCTGGTGTACCATCTCCAGCAGATGATGCTGGGAAGGGATTAATAATGGGGTCCAGCATCCCTGCAGCAACATCCCCCCAAGATATTCTCCTGGGGACCAGCATCTCTGCAGCATCACCCCCTCAAGATGTTCTCCTGGGGTCCACCATCCCTTCAGTATCATTCCCTTGAGATGTTCTCTTGGGGTCCAGCATCCCCACAGCATCATTCCCCCCAAGATATTCCCCCGGGGTCCCGCGTCCCTGCAGCATCATTCCCTCAAGATGTTCTTCTGGGGTCCAGCATCCCTTCAGTATCATTCCTTCAAGATGTTCTCTTGGGGTCCAGCATCCCCACAGCATCATTCCCCCCAAGATATTCCCCTAGGGACCAGGGTCCCTGCAATACCATTCCGCCAAGATATTCTCCTGAGGTCCACCATCCCTTCAGTATCATTCCCCCAAGATGTTCTCCTGGGGTCCAGCATCCCTGCAGCATCATTCCCCCCAAGATGTTCTCCTGGGGTCCAGCATCCCTGCAGCATCATTCCCCAAAAATATTCTCTTGGGGACCAGCATCTCTGCAGCATCATCCCCTCAAGATGTTCTCTTGGGGTCCAGCTTCCCTGCAACATCGTTCCCCCAATATATTCCCCTGGGGACTGGGGTCCCTGCAGCATCCTTCACCCAAGATATTCTCCTGAGGTCCACCATCCCTTCAGTATCATTCCCCCAAGATGTTCTCCTGGGGTCCAGCATCCCTGCAGCATCATTCCCCCCAAGATATTCCCCCGCAAACCAGGGTCCCTGTGGCATCATTCCCCCAAGATGTTCTCCTGAGGTCCACCATCCCTTCAGTATCATTCCCCCAAGATGTTCTCCTGGGGTCCAGCATCCCTGCAGCATCATTCCCCAAAAATATTCTCTTGGGGACCAGCATCTCTGCAGCATCATCCCCTCAAGATGTTCTCTTGGGGTCCAGCTTCCCTGCAACATCGTTCCCCCAATATATTCCCCTGGGGACTGGGGTCCCTGCAGCATCCTTCACCCAAGATATTCTCCTGAGGTCCACCATCCCTTCAGTATCATTCCCCCAA